CTAACCTAACCTAACCTAACGTGTTTTTTTTTTTTTTACATGGGGAAATGCCTACGCATACCCGCCTCGCGGGGGCAAGGACGGGTTATGTCGGACTCGCACCGACTAAAACCCCATGGTGTTCCACCCTCGTCGCATATTGGCAGGGCCACGGGAACGCTTTCGCACACTTCCGCGGCCCCACCTGCGCTGGCCACTCCAAGGCGGCCCCTCCTCGGGAGAGGACTACTCCTCCCCCATCTCCCTCTCCGGTAAGGTGCACCAGAAACACATGGCGCGCCCTCCTCCTCAGCCTCCAATTGCACATGCGCAACGGACGCCCCCGTGTCCGATGCGCGAAGGCCATGGGGCCAGGAAAAACTAGCACTCAGTAGCACCAGCCTTCCTGACCCCAGCGGCGGATCTGGTCTATGGCTCCGCCGCCAACCCAGATTCGGCTGCGGAGGGTAGGGAGAGCGGCGCCTCGCAATACCGACACTCCTCTCCCCCCGCAGCCCCACCACCACCGCATCATTTAACGGTGCGGCCCCGTCTGAGTCGCGGAAGATAGGGCGAGTGGCGCATCGCCATACCAGCACGCCTCTTCCTCCGCGACTCCACCTCGGCTGCAGCGGTAGAGGGTGCGGACTCCCCTCTCACCGCAGCCCACCAACACACATCCGAAGTGGGCTTCCCAAGCCCACTCGGAGTGGCCACCTCGGGCCGGCCCTACACCTCGGGCCAGCCAAGGGGTTCCTCTTTGTTCACCGCGGTTGACCAAGCCACGGCTATTTTTTTTTTACATGGGGAAATGCCTACGCATACCCGCCTCGCGGGGGCAAGGACGGGTTATGTCGGACTCGCACCGACTAAAACCCCATGGTGTTCCACCCTCGTCGCATATTGGCAGGGCCACGGGAACGCTTTCGCACACATCCGCGGCCCCACCTGCGCTGGCCACCCCATGGCGGCCTCTCCTCAGGAGAGGACTACTCCTCCTCCAACTCCTTCTCGGGTAAGGCGCACCAGAACACATGGTGCGCCCTCCTCCTCGGCCTCCAATTTCTAATGCGCAACGGACGCCCCCGTGTCCGATGCGCGAAGGCCATGGGGCCAGGAAAAACAAGCACTCAGAAGCACCAGCCTTCCTGGCCCCAGCGGCGGATCTGGTCTCGGGCTCCGCCGCCAACCAAGTTTCGGCCGCGGAGGGTAGGGAGAGCGGCGCCTCGCAATACCGACACTCCTCTCCCCCCGCGGCCCCACCACCACCGCATCAACGGTGCGGTCCCGTTTGAGTCGCGGAGGATAGGGCGAGTGGCGCATCGCCATACCAACACTCCTCTTCCTCCGCGACTCCACCTCGGCTGCAGCGGTAGAGGGTGCGGACTCCCCTCTCACCGCAGCCCCCCGACACACATCCGAAGTGGGCTTCCCAAGCCCACTCGGAGTGGCCACCTCGGGCCGGCCCTACACCACGGGTCAGCCAAGGGGTTCCTCTTTGTTCACCGTGGGTGACCAAGCCACGGCTACTAAGCCCCCCCCGCCACGACAAGGCGGGAACCCGTTCGGGGGGGAACCTAACCTAACCTTTTTTTTTGTTTTACATGGGGAAATGCCTACGCATACCCGCCTCGCGGGGGCAAGGACGGGTTATGTCGGACTCGCACCGACTAAAACCCCATGGTGTTCCAACTTCGTCGCATATTGGCAGGGCCACGGGAACGCTTTCGCACACTTCCGCGGCCCCACCTGCGCTGGCCGCCCCATGGCGGCCCCTCCTCGGGAGAGGACCACTCCTCCCCCATCTCCCTCTCAGGTAAGGCGCACCAGAACACATGGCGCGCCCTCCTCCTCGGCCTCCAATTTCACATGCGCAACGGACGCTTCCGTGTCCGATGCGCGAAGGCCATGGGGCCAGGAAAAACTAGCACTCAGAAGCACCAGCCTTCCTGACCCCAGCGGCGGATCTGGTCTATGGCTCAACCTAACCTAACCTAACCTTTTTTTTTTTTTTTTTTTTTTACGTGGGGAAATCCTCATAGATACCTCCGGCCGCGGGGGCAACCGGAAGGTTATGCCGGACTCCTACCGGCTAAAACCCCACGGTTCCTCCTCGCACGTGCGTGCGGGGCCGCGGGAATCCAAATTCTTCCGCAGCCCCACACTAGTGCTGGCCCGATCTGTCCGGGCCTCGTCTCCTGCACGGGGTAGCGAGGTGTTCAGCTACCCCCCTCCACAGCCTCCAACTCCACCTGCGTATCGGACCCCCCCGAGTCCGATACGCGGAGGCCATGGGGCCAGGAAAAACTAGCACTCAGAAGCACCAGCCTTCCTGACCCCAGCGACGGATCTGGTCTATGGCTCCGCCGCCAACCAAGATTCGGCTGCGGAGGGTAGGGAGAGCGGCGCCTCGTAATACCGACACTCCTCTCCCCCCGCAGCCCCACCACCACCGCATCATTTAACGGTGCGGCCCCGTCTGAGTCGCGGAGGATAGGGCGAGTGGCGCATCGCCATACCAACACTCCTCTTCCTCCGCGACTCCACCTCGGCTGCAGCGATAGAGGGAGCGGACACCCCTCTCGCAGCATCCCACCGACACACATCCGAAGTGGGCTTCCCAAGCCCATTCGGAGTGGCCACCTCGGGCCGGCCCTACACCACGGGCCAGCCAAGGGGTTCCTCTTTGTTCACCGTGGTTGACCAAGCCACGGCTACTAAGCCCCCCCGCCACGACAAGGCGGGAACCCGTTCGGGGGGGAACCTAACCTAACCTAACCTAACCTTTTTTTTTTTTTTTTTCGTGGGGAAATCCTCATGGATACCTCCGGCTGCGGGGGCAACCGGAAGGTTATGCCGGACTCCTACCGGCTAAAACCCCACGGTGCCTCCTCGCACGTGCGTGCGGGGCCGCGGGAATCCAAATTCTTCCGCAGCCCCACACTAGTGCTGGCCCGGTCTGTCCGGGCCTCGTCTCCTGCACGGGGTAGCGAGGTGTTCAGCTACCCCCCTCCACAGCCTCCAACTCCACCTGCGTATCGGACCCCCCCGAGTCCGATACGCGGAGGCCATGGGGCCAGGAAAAAACTAGCACAGAAGCACCAGCCTTCCTGACCCCAGCGGCGGATCTGGTCTATGGCTCCACCGCCAACCAAGATTCGGCTGCGGAGGGTAGGGAGAGCGGCGCCTCGCAATACCGACACTCCTCTCCCCCCGCAGCCCCACCACCACCGCATCACTCAACGGTGCGGCCCCGTCTGAGTCGCGGAGGATAGGGCGAGTGGCGCATCGCCATACCAGCACGCCTCCTCCTCCGCGACTCCACCTCGGCTGCAGCGATAGAGGGAGCGGACACCCCTCTCGCAGCATCCCACCGACACACATCCGAAGTGGGCTTCCCAAGCCCACTCGGAGTGGCCACCTCGGGCCGGCCCTACACCACGGGCCAGCCAAGGGGTTCCTCTTTGTTCACCGTGGTTGACCAAGCCACGGCTACTAAGCCCCCCCGCCACGACAAGGCGGGAACCCGTTCGGGGGGGAATCTAACCTAACCTAACCTAACCAGTTGCTCCGCAAACGTTGAGTCGTAAGCATCGTTTTTGATAAGCTCCGTCAAAGAAAAATCAGTAAAAATAGTAAATTAAGTGCTATTTTCTCGTGTTATGTATCAAAAGTTGTGTTTTTACGACGTCCGTATTATGACCTGATTGCTTTCAGCCGGACGCTGTTATTGAAAGTGTTATTTTGGTTTTTCTGTGTTAAGCACGTGGTTTTTAGGTTATATAAACAGTTTTTTGTGAACGCTGCGCGATTAAGATCTATGACATATGTGTTTTTATATGTCACACTATGGGGCTCATTGTCTGCTACAAGATCCCAAAAAATTAGATTTTTTCATTGGAGTGGTGCCGAGTTATAACCATATTTAGAAAAACCACGTGTCTACCAAAATCAACACGGAAATCGTGCGGCTGGTATGCGGATTGAAATTGGAAGGAAAAGTGAGGTTTGAACTATTATCAAGTTTTAAATTTGAAGAAAAATTATTAATTCAAAAGTTATAACCAAAAGCAGTTGACAAAGTGACAACCCTAACTTTGTGGTCGTATATCTTTTTAAAACGATCTATGACATTATCATTAGAGACTAGTAGTCGAAGGAACATTTTATGTTCTTTAAATATTAGTAATTAGTTTATTTTTATGTTGAATAGTTTTAAAGTTATTGATTTATTTGTAAATTATATGTGTAAAACCAACCGCAAAATAGGCAAAAATAAGTTTGTAATCTAATAGCAGCTTTATTCGTGTGACAGTCATAAACCTGACCTTTCTTGAGAATTTGATAAAATCGAATAAATTTAAATCAAAAAATTAACAATTTTTTAATATATAACTATACATAAATTTTAAAAAATCATCAAAATTGTAATTGACTTCTCTGAGTGGATGCACAGTGAAAATTCCATTAGTTTGAAACCAAACCCGGTGTAATTGGGCCTTTTAGTTCGCATACAGTAGACAAAATTAAAATTTACGCCATCTTGGCCGCCATATTGTGGAAATAAAAACAAGTATAACTCAAGAACCATACATCGCACAGGATTGTGGTTTTGGACATACTATTAAGCGGCCAAGTGGCCATCTTTCTATTGACATTCAGACACTCTACATAGAGTCAAATTTTAATTGTGAAAACCACTCTAGAAGGCGAGATCATATTGTTCCCATTATAAAGAACCCGAACACGAGTTTTCTGCGGCGGCGGGAACGGAAGTTATAAAGTCCCAAACTATCAGTCGCCATCTTGGGCGGCCATCTTGAAAATCTTGCAACGTCTATAACTTCTGAACCATTTGCCGTAGCGAGTCGTGGTTTTGGGCGTAAAGTGTGGTATCTTGAGAGCTGTCTCTCGACCAACTGATCTGTTAAACTTTTGCAATAATCTATACGATACAAATTTTTTTTTTCTTGATTTTTTTTATTTTTATTATTTTATTTTAAATTAGGGAACATTGAAGTATGGCTTCGAAAACGAAAATTGACAGTACTGTCAACTCAGGTAGGTCTAAAGTTACTGTGACAACGGCAGGAGTGATGTCCGCAGGAATTTCACGCAAACGAATTCCCTCGACCACTGGAGGAAGTACTCCAGAGTCACCCGTGAAGACACGCATATCCGATGGATCCCCAGCATACACCAGCTTATCAACACCAGAAAGCTCACCAGCGAGTCTCTCAGCTAAAGCAAACCGGTTGTACCAAGAGGCAAAAACCCAAATGGAACAGTCGGGTAATATAAAGACTTCAATAAAGGAGACAGTGCTCAGCAATCTAGCGGGGATGTATGAGATTATTCTCCGATTGAGTGAGTCGAGACAGACACTCCATGCACAACTCGAAAAAGCCCGAGCAGAAAGTACAGCGACATTATTAAAACGCGAGAGGGAACACGCGGAGCAACTAACAAAAGCGCATAAATTAAGAACTGTAACCTCAACCGAATCGCCACCAACAATCGATTTAATAAACGAGCTTATAGAAAACTTACAAGACCATGCGAAAACAGTAGTGGAATGTAAACAACATACCATAATGCTCACCGAACAACTGAAACAAACTCCACAGAATAACAACTTGGAACGAACTTATGCACAAGCAGTAGGTACCACAAAACATCAACAGATACACTCGGTGGTAGTGACGTCAGATGAGTCGAAGGATACTAGTGGTGAGGTTATTGACAAAATTAGAACGACGGTAAATGCAAGACATGAGGGTATACAAATAGAGAGGATACGTAAAGCGAGAGATCAAAAAGTAATTGTAGGATGTAAATCAAAAGAAGAACTGACAAAAGTGACAGAGAGAATTAAACACTCGGGAGGAAGCCTGCATGTCGAAGAAGTAAAAAATAAGGATCCACTTATAATCCTAAAAGACGTACTAGTGTACAATTCAGATGAAGATATAGTGACTGCGCTAAAAAATCAAAATAATCACCTAATAGGAGAAATAAAAACAGAAGACCAGAGATTCGTCGTGAAATACCGACGTAAGACCAGAAATCCTCATGCAAACCATGTCATCATGCAGGTTTCCCCCCAAGTGTGGCAGCGACTAACGACGGTAGGACGAGTGCATACTGACTTGCAGAGAGTTCGAGTGGCAGATCAAACACCATTAGTGCAGTGTTCACGCTGCCTAGGGTACGGTCACGGTCGACGATTCTGCAAGGAAACTGCTGACCTCTGTAGCCACTGTGGCGGCCCACATATGAGGGCAGAATGCACAGATTGGCTTGCAGGAAATGCATCATCGTGTCGAAATTGCTTCCACGCAAAACAAGATAAAAATGACCACAACGCCTTTGACTCTGAATGCCCAATTAAGAAAAGATGGGACACACTAGCTCGATCGACGGTGGCGTACTGCTAAAGACGACTTAGACGCAGGCAGCACTTCAACGGATGCACAAACCCTCCAAACTCTGCAAACATATAGGGTCATACAGGCCAATTTACAAAAGAAAAAACTGGCGACATCAGAATTAATAATAGAAGCCGCCAAAGAAAGGATTTCTTTTGCACTAATACAGGAACCGTATATAGGCTCCCAGGGAATACTTAAAAGACACGTTGGAACACGCGTGGTTCAACGAAACAATAACAGGACAAAGCCTGTAAAGGCGGCCATAGTGGTTTTTGACGAGAATGTGGAGATTATTGAAAGCCCCACATTGACAACAGAAAATATAGCAGTTGCTATATTAAAAACAAATGAATGGACCATGGGAGTCATATCGATCTACATGGAGGATTATATGCCAATCGAACCATATTTGGACAACATAAAAGCCATTGTTAGGACCATAGGAACCACCAAAATACTGCTTGGAGGAGATAGTAATGCATGGAGCACATGGTGGGGAAGTGTGACAGAAGATCATAGAGGAGAGGCACTGTCGGGAACATTAGAAGAGCTAAACTTGCAAATTCTTAATATCGGGAACGAACCAACATTTGACACCATAAGAGGAGGGAAACACTACAAGAGTCATGTTGATATCACGGCATGCACATTGGAACTACTAGGAGTCGTAAATGATTGGAGAATAGATAAACATGTAACTAGCTCAGACCATAATGCGATTAGATTTAATATAAAATTGAAAAGACCAACACAAGACAGACAAAGAAGTACGACAAGAATATTCAATACGAAAAAGGCTAATTGGCTCCTATTTAAAGAAGAATTGACAAACCAAATAAAAAGAAGGAATATAGATAAAAATGAGATCAATAACATTGTAACTAAGAAAGCTTTAGAACTAATGATAGAAAATTACATTGACGGTGTAAAGAAAACATGTGAAAAGACGATATCTCTAATTAAATTTAAGAACAGACCGAAAATAATATGGTGGAATGAAGACTTGGAAAAATTGAAAAGAGACATGAACACCAAAAAGAGAAGAATACAATGTGCTGCACCAAGCCGTAAAATATGGGTAGTGAATGAGTTCCTCCTAGCAAAAGGGAAATATGAAGAGGAAGTAATAAAAGCCCAAACAGAAAGTTGGAACAACTTCTGCACAAAACAGGATAGCGAGAGTATGTGGGACAGTATCTATAGAGTAATGGCAAAAACGACCAAAAGATACGAAGACCAACCACTCGTAAGGAATGGGATAGCTCTGAGTGTGGATGAATCAGTGAAGTGGCTAACTGAGACTTTCTTTCCAGATGATCGTGAAGAAGACGATAATGCAGAACATCAGCTAACAAGATTAACAGCAAGCAAACCTGACTCAAAAGCTACTGACAAAATGGATCCGCCTTTCACTATGGCTGAACTTAATTACGTGATAAACACCTTTAATCCAAAAAAGGCGCCAGGTCCAGACGGTTTGACTGCGGACATATGCTCAGTTGTAATATCCCAAGAACCAGAAGTCTTCCTGAATATAGCGAACAAATGCCTACAACTGTCACATTTCCCAATACCCTGGAAAGAAGCGAGGGTGATAGTGATAAGAAAACCAGGCAAAGATAACTATCTGGCCCCAAAATCTCATAGACCAATAGGACTTTTGTCAGTCATGGGCAAAATGCTTGAGAAAATGTTCATAAGGAGGATTATATGGCACCTCCAACCTCAAGCAAATCCTAGGCAGTATGGTTTCGTCCCACAACGCAGCACTGAGGACGCTCTGTATGACCTGTTAAAACACATACGACAAAACTTGACCAAAAAACTCATAAACGTAATAGTGTCGCTCGACATAGAAGGAGCGTTTGATAGCGCCTGGTGGCCGGCAATACAGTGCCGACTGGCAGAGAAACGCTGTCCGCAAAATCTATGTAACCTTGTAAATAGTTACTTAGAAGATGCCGCAGGGGCCGTTTGCTCAAAAAAAAATGACAAAAGGATGTGTTCAAGGCTCCATTGGGGGCCCCACATTTTGGAATATTCTACTAGACCCCCTGTTGGATGGGTTGGAGAAACGTGGGGTATATTGTCAAGCATTTGCTGACGATGTTGTCCTGATATTCTCCGGAGGAACTAGCTCAGTTATACAAGATAATGCCAACAACATCTTGGCATATGTACATGAATGGGGAGTCAAAAATAAACTCAAATTCGCGCCACATAAAACAAAGGCTATGATTATAACCAAGAAGCTTAAATATGAGACGCCACATATACAAATGGGAGGAACTGAGATAACATTAGTGGAAGAAATGAAACTACTCGGCCTTACAATTGACCACAAATTGACTTTCCAGAAACATGTGCAACTAGTTTGTCGCAAAGCCGCTAATATCTACAAGCAACTCGCACGTACAGCTAAAATTGAGTGGGGACTAAATCCGGGGATTATCAGGACAATATATGTAGCAGTGGTAGAACCGATAATCTTATATGCAGCTATTGCGTGGGCAACAGCATCAGAAAAAATTACTATTCAAAAACAGCTGAATGTAATCCAGAGAGGATTCGCGCAAAAAATGTGCAAAACTTACCGAACAGTCTCCCTAAATGCCGCACTACTCCTATCAAGATTGCTTCCTCTAGATCTTCGGGTCCAAGAAGCAGCCTCTCTTTATAAAGCAAAGAAAGGTGAACCTCAGGAGAGAATAGGTTATAGGAAGATAGAAGGTAGAGTCTGCTTCCTAAAGGCACAACATCCAGCCAAGGAAGTAGAAATCACATACGAATGCCTGGAAGATACTCAGCCTGAAACACTTAGGAAACACAACATCATGGGTGATCAAATTTACACAGACGGGAGCAAAATTGAGGGTAAAGTCGGAGCAGCGTTATCCTGTTGGTATAATGGCACTGAGATTAAAGCCAAGAAATTTAAATTAGAACCGTTCTGCACCGTCTTTCAGGCTGAACTGTATGCAATTTTACAGGCGACAAAATTTGCACTGGAACATAAAGTGACAACAATTAACGTTCTCAGCGATTCTAGATCAGCTCTGGAACTGATTCGTAATCGAAACTCGTATCATCCTCTAGTTAAAGCCATTAAGAAAACATCATGCTCGTTAAGGAACAGGATAAAACGATCCGCCTGTTTTGGATTAGGGCCCACGTCGGAGTTACGGGTAATGAGTGAGCCGATCAACTAGCGAAAGAGGCTGCGTTATATAAGAAAACTGCACCTGATTACGACAAATGTCCCATTTCGTATATAAAACGACAGATTCGACTGGATAGTATTGAGAAATGGAAAAAGCGCTACATGAGTTCGGACACCGCCGCGGTAACAAAAATGTTTTTACCAGATATAGAGGCAGCGTACAGATTATTGCAAAAGTTAGAACTTAGTCCAATCTTAGTACAGGTACTTACCGGTCACGGTGGTTTCTCAAGCTATCTTTATAGGTTCAAATGTAAAAATTCCCCAGAATGTGTTTGTGACAGTCAAAAAGAAGAAAGTGTAGAACATTTACTATTAGAATATCCTAAATACTTACAAGATAGATTTAAATTAGAAATGGTTACAAATATGCAACCTAAAAAAGAAAATATTAGTAAATTGTTAGCATGTAAGAAGCATAGAAATAGGTTTATAACATACTGTATAGATATAGCAAAAGATGTAATAAATAGAAATAAGACTAAGTAAGAAGTATATGATAATATATACTGTGTTATATATTTAGAATATATGTACTAACTAAATATAGATATAAATATAAAAGATAAAATTCTGTAAAATCTAACTCAGCAATAATAACTATAAGCATAATTGTAACACATACACTAAACCAATAAAAAAAACAAAGCAGACAACGCACACACACGAAATAATAAAAAACACAAACACAGGAAATTGTAAAGATACTTACGATCTTCCCACCATCCAACAGAACAAGGGCGGAAAAAAAAAAGTCGTCGAAGCCCGTACATAGTTGAGGAAAGTCTCCGACCTGTGTTGGAGGACACCTTAGCGGTGCACACAAGAAAAAAAAAAAACCTAACCTAACCTAACCTAACCTAACCTTTTTTTTTTTTTTACGTGGGGAAATCCTCATGGATACCTCCGGCTGCGGGGGCAACCGGAAGGTTATGCCGGACTCCTACCGGCTAAAACCCCACGGTGCCTCCTCGCACGTGCGCGCGGGGCCGCGGGAATCCAAATTCTTCCGCAGCCCCACACTAGTGCTGGCCCAGTCTGTCCGGGCCTCGTCTCCTGCACGGGGTAGCGAGGTGTTCAGCTACCCCCTCCACAGCCTACAACTCCACCTGCGTATCGAACTCCCCCGAGTCCGATACGCGGAGGCAATGGGGCCCGGAAAATCGAGCGCTTAACAGCGCCCGCTTTCCCGACCCTAGCGGCGGATCTGGTCTATGGCTCCGCCGCCAACCAAGATTCGGCTGCGGAGGGTAGGGAGAGCGGCGCCTCGCAACACCGACACTCCTCTCCCCCCGCAGCCCCACCACCACCGCATCATTTAACGGTGCGGCCCCGTCTGAGTCGCGGAGGATAGGGCTAGTGGCGCATCGCCATACCAGCACGCCTCTTCCTCCGCGACTCCACCTCGGCTGCAGCGATAGAGGGAGCGGACACCCCTCTCGCAGCATCCCACCGACACACATCCGAAGTGGGCTTCCCAAGCCCACTCGGAGTGGCCACCTCGGGCCGGCCCTACACCACGGGCCAGCCAAGGGGTTCCTCTTTGTTCACCGCGGGTGACCAAGCCACGGCTACTAAGCCCCCCCGCCACGACAAGGCGGGAACCCGTTCGGGGGGGAACCTTTTTTTTTTTTTTTTTTTACGGGGGGAAATCCTCATGGACTACCTCCGCCTGGGGAAAGGCGGAGGGGCGTGCCGGACTCTTACCGGCTAAAACCACCCCGGTGTCTCCTCACACGTGCGCGTGGGGCCGCGGGAATCCAAATTCTTCCGCAGCCCCACACTAGTGCTGGCCCGGTCCGTCCAGGCCTCGTCTCCTGCACGGGGTAGTGAGGTGTTAAACTACCCCGTGTATCGCCTCAGGGGCGCGCGCCGACACCCGCGCGCGCCTCCGCCTCGGGTCCATCGAGTAGGGATGTCGGGGGCTTCCCCAAGTCCCTCGCCCCTGGACCCATTTATGGGGGCCGGAAAAGGGCGTTGTCCGCCCTTCTCCTGCGCCCGGTGCGCCTTCTGCGGCCAGGGAAGGGAGTCGAGATCTCCCTTTCCCGTTCCGCAGTTTCCTTCTGCGACATCACGTCCTCGCAGAAGGACACCACTGCATCCCACGACTCTGCGCTACCGACCATCTTCTGCACTAAGGCCGGCAGCGACAGATCGCCTCCTACTTTATTTGTGAGGACACGGCGCTGCTCCTCCCAAGCTACACACTCGGCGAGCGTATGTTGCGCCGTGTCCTCCCCGCAATGGACGCAGTGGTGGCACCGAGCGTCCGGCTCCCTGTCTATGCGGCGCAGGTACTTGCCGAAGTAGCCATGCCCCGACAGCACCTGCGTCACCCTAAACGACAGGGAGCCGTGCCTTCTCCCGAGCCAGTCGTCGAGTACTGGCCGGATCGCCTCGACGGTAGCGAGGCCGGCGGTAGGGCGCAGAAGCCTTTGCTGCCATTCCGCCACCAAGACCTGACGGAGCTCCTCTCGACGCAGCGCGATCTGCCGCTGCACCGGCCTCGAGCCCCGTGCCCGCTCTTCCTCGCGCCATCGATATAATGACGCGAGTACTTTCGCCTCTAGGTCCCAGGGCGGGGATCCGGCCAGGACGCAAGCCGCCTCGTAGGAAATCGTGCGATACCCGCGGGCGACTCTGACGGCCATCGCCCTCTGCGGTTTACGCAGAATGGCGAGAGTGCTGGCCGTCATGTCCATCGCCCACACAGGGGCCCCATACAGGGCCATGGACCGCACGATTCCCACGTACAACCGCCTACAGGCGGCGCTCGGGACCCCCAAGTTGGGAAGCAACGTTGATAGCGCGCCCGCTGCACCCATCAGCTTGGGCGCCAGCCGCCGGAAGTGGGGTCCGAATTCCCATCGGCTGTCGAGCACCAATCCCAGATACTTCATGGTGGACTCGACAGCTATCCGGGCCCCGCTGACCACGATGTGTGAACCCGGCGGCGGCGCGCGTCGAGGGCCATGGAACACCATGGCCTCCGACTTATTTAGGGCCACCTCCAGGCCCAGGCGCCGGATGCGGTTCACCACTTGTGACACCGCAGCCGTGGCAACCAACGCTGCTTCCCTGTGTGAACTCCCCCGGGCAGTGACGAGCGTGTCGTCCGCATAACACGTCAAGTCGGCGCCCGACGGGAGTTCACCTCTCAGCACCCAATCGTAGCCGATGTTCCACAGGAGCGGTCCCAAGACCGATCCCTGCGGAACACCGCACGACATGACGCGCCGACCAGCGCCGTCACGTCCCCAATAGGTAACGCATCTCTCCTCAAGGTAAGCCCCTATTGTGCGGCGGAGGTAGGGAGGCACGCGATGGTAATTCAGCGCCTCCCGAATACAACTCCAGGGTAGGGTGTTGAAGGCGTTGGAGATGTCTAAGGACACCGCCAGCACCACCCCACCCCGGGATACTGTCTCCTCCGCCAGGGCCCTCACGCGCGTAATAGCGTCTATGGTAGAGCGCCCGCGGCGAAAACCAAACTGGTTCTCGTCCAGGTCCGGCCCCTCTCTGCACAAGTGGCTGACGAGGCGATCTGCGATGATGCGCTCAAGAAGTTTGCCCGCCTCGTCGAGCAGCACTATGGGCCGGTACGCGGACGGTGAGTCCGCGGGGCGCCCCTCCTTCCTGAGCAGGACCAGCCTCCCCTCCTTCCACACACTGGGAAACTGACCCTGTTCGAGACTGCTCTAGCTCCTTCAGAGCCAGGACGAGAGCTCGACCAGGAACTCCGTCTGGTCCGGGCGCTGTGTTCTTAGCCCGGAGTCGCGACACGGCCGCTCTCGTGCTCCGCTTGCGTCACCTCGGGGACATCGGTGCTCTCCTCTTCTGGAGAGTCTGTGGCTGAGGGCGAAGCCATCGCCGGGGGAACGTGTCCCACTCGCTCAGGGAAGAGAGCCGATACCACCGCCTCTAGCAACTGGGGTTGCATCGTTTGTGTTAGTGGAGGCGCCCAGGGACGCAACTTGCCCCGTACCCAACGGTAGGGGCGCCCCCACGGATCCCGATCTAGGGATCCCAGCAGCTCTTCCCTGGCACGCGACTTTGAGTCGCCGATGGCCAGCCACAGAGTCTCCTTAGACGCGCGGTACATACAGCGCGTCCTCCTCGGCGGGATCCCGTCGACGCCGCCTCCGGTATCGGGTGTACCGGCGACGACCCGCAACGCACGCTATGCGCAATTGCGCGATCTCGGCGGTCCACCAGTACACCTGGCGCCTTGCGGACCGTTGGTGGACACGGGGCATCGACGCGTCACAGATCTGCGTCATCGCCCCGCGAAACCATAGCGCCACCGCTTCGACGTCGACGGGGCCGTCCGTCGTCGACTCCCGAATCCAGGACTGGACTAGGGCAGCTTCTTCGAGTAGTTCCCTGTCGATGCGCTTAAGCGCCCAACGCGGGCCGTCGTTAATCGGGGTTGTTGGATGGCGGCCGCTCGCAGTCTGGGCAGAGACGTCGAACCGGATATACCGATGGTCCGACAGCGTCTCCACCTCTGCGGCGACACGCCAGTCGCGGACTCGGCTGGCGACAGAGGGGCTAGCAAACGAGACGTCCACTATCGACCCACCCCGCTGCCGCACGCACGTGTATTCCGAACCCCGATTCAGGACGACCAGACCAGTCGTCACCGTCCACTCTTCTAACACCTCGCCCCGAGGGTCAGTGACCGGAGATCCCCACGCCGATGACTTGGCGTTGAGATCCCCGAGCACCAGAACGGGACGAGGGTGATAGCGGCCTACGACGGCGCCCAACTCGACAAGGAAACCCTCAAAGTCGGCGAGACTCTTGTTGGGGGAGAAATACGCCCCTACAATAACGATTCCGCCCGAGACCGCAGCAACCCAGCCGCGGCCCCGAGACGGGTCGATCAGAGTTTCGCCAATAATGACCACCAAACCGTCAGCGCATCCCAACCAGTTGTCACGGGCGGGAATGAAGTACGGTTCGGCGACCACAGCCACGTCAATCGACCACTCTGCCAAAGTTATTGGCGGTCAAACATCACCTTTGACATTTGAGCGACCATCTTGGAAAATTTAAATTGGCCATAACTTCTGAAGTACGGGTCGTAGGGGACTGTGGTTTTGACCCTAGACGTCGGGAAGTAGTGCCGGAACAGACCATCTAGTTTTCAGGAAATTTCAGCGCAAAAAATTTTAAGTCCTGATAACTACACTACATTAAAGCCCAGGTCGAGCCCAGTAAGACAAACCCAAGCACGGAGCTGTAAACTTATTGGTTCGGAAGTTACAGCGTTGTAACCGTAAAGTTGGCAGCCATCTTGTTTAGCAACCAGAAATTGAAAACGCGATAACTTTCGAACCTCTTGGGCTAGGCATACCGAGTTTGGGTTCTTTGAATAGGGTTCGAGAAGCGCTTTTAGCTAGATATAAGAAATTGACTCTACGTAGAGTTAAGAACTTGGTAGCTGATAACTCTCTCTTTATATTATATTTTTTAAAAAATTTTTA